AAAACATGGAACACCGCGCTTCCTCCCGCTGCCGGCAACGCCACCACCCTCCTCCGCCCACCCAAACTCCCCACCACTCTCCCTCGCCGGCCGGCCGCCTCGTCCGCAGCAAGAGCGGTGCCGAAATCAACAACGCCGAGTCCCAGCAGCGGCTCAATGCCGCAGACCGATCGAGATCCACCACCAGATCCCGAGACCCGAAATTCGAGACCAGCCTGAACACCTCCACGTCATCGCTGCCGTCCACCTGCCGGAGGAAGCACGGCCGCGGCGGAGATGTGAGTCCCGCCGGTGGCGGGAGTCGAGATGGGCTCGTCAGGTTCGTCCAGCGCGGGGACGGCCCACGTAACTACATCACCAGCTCAACCAGGCCCAATACTAAGCTGGGCCGGATATCTCCTTCTGCATGGGCTTTATCCCCCGGAAGGCCCAATAACTTCCGGGCGCCGCAGCCACCGCCGCCGCCGGAATCGCCGGGAGTGAAAAAGAGACGCGCCAGTGGAGGCGTGGGGATGGTGAGCGGGGTTTTGAATTACTTCCGGCAGAAGAAGGGCTCGTCCGCGAAAGACGAGGATCGCCACGGGTTTAGGGTTCTGAACAGCAGGCTGGTTCAGTGGAGATACGCCAACGCTCGAGCCGAGGCCGTGATGGCGGCGCGGAGCCGAGCCGCGAGCGGGAAAATCTTCCACGTGTGGCTGAAGGTGGCGGAGAAGCGGAAGGGCGTATTGGAGAAACGGCTCGAGATTCAGAGGCTGAAGCATGGGCTGAAACTGGGCCGGGTGCTCGGCCCGCAGCTGGGCCTGCTAAGCGAGTGGGGGAAAATGGAGGGCAAAAACGTCGAGGCGGTGAGCCGGGTGGCCCGGAAGCTCTCCGCCTTGTCTCTCAAGCTTCCTTTGCATGACGACGTCAAGGTACGCTACGCACCACCATAGTTTTTTCTTTCTTCTTCAAAGTTCAAACTACCATAACGGTTGACTAAGCATCAGGTCAACTGCATTTATATTAAATTAAAAATTTGTGATATAAATTATTTAAAAACTTTTATGGTTGGCAATCGGTATGGTTAGATTACAATCGTAATTCTTTAGTCGGATCTCGATTAACTATTAAGACAACGGCTAATCGAGGAAAAAGTGAGGCGAAAATGGTTGAGCCGCAACCCAACGAACAATGAAACGATTACCTAAATTTGAAAAATTTACCAGTGCTATACTAACTTTGAATCCAGCGGAGGGCTGTGCTGTGGCCCGGGGGCGCACCCTGGATCCGCAACTGCATTAAGCACTTTTACGCTTACTGTTAACCGCACCATTTTTATCAGACAGTTAATCGTAACTGTATAGTCAGTTCTCGATTATTCTATCGGTTTACTGGATAAACGTTAAGCAAGTGATTCGACAAGGTTGTAACAAAATAACCTATCAGTAACCTAACTAACAGAAGATTCCTACATTTTCATAGTTTTTTGTTGCATACGTATGGGTTCATTTTTAAGTTGCTATCATTGAAAATAAAATAATTTAATATACATATAAATCCATAATCATCTAAATCCGACACAAGTACATAGTAATATTATTATACCGTCAAATTTTATTAAAGAAGCAGACAATAATAAGAGAGTCAATAACAATTACTCAACTCATAACCCCACCAAATTACATGAAATCTTAAATGTTACTAATTATTGTCAAACTTTTATGCGAAAGTCCAACTTTTTATTGTGCTTCTTATAAAGCCCTTCATTGAAATTATTATCATTTGAACCTAAGTCACTATTACAACTAGGTTTGACAATGAATTTTGTAGGACTTCAAACATCTCATTATTTTGGCCTATGTATGTGACTCAGTGAGGCCAATTATTTTCTGCCCTAACTATGAGAATAACCGTAATTGGTTAGTCAGTTAAGGATTTAACCGTCAGTTAGTAATTAGCTAGATTTTAACTATGAGGAACCGGCCATTTATTGTTTAATCGATTATCAATATAACCGTTAACCATCAATTCTGATTCAGTTATCAATTACCTCTAACAAAAATTACCATTTACCAACCTAAGAAAATAAACAATTATTATATGGTTGTTGGGAACAGGGCGACGTGGAGTCGGTAGGGGAAGCTTTAAGTAAGGCAATGGGAGTGATGGATGGTATACAAGAGCTGCTAAGCAAATTCTTCTCACAGGTTAGTTAATCACTGATGATTAATGTTTGTATTATTATTCGTAATCAATTGATTAGTGTTGTTACTAATTATTTCTTACTACACGTTGGGTACAGTTGGAGAGAAATCTGTACTTGTTAACGGAGCTAACAAGCAGCGTAGAGAACCAAAACGAGAGATTACAAGAGATGGACAAAATCGTATCCATGCTGGCTCACTTACTGGTAAGCCTGGACTTCCCAAACCCCTCCCCAAGCCCAAATAAACAATTGGGCCGACGAGGAAGTAATCCCTCGATTTGTGACTTGCTTGCAGGAGTGGGAGAAGAACGTGAGAGTACAAGTGTTGCGCATGGTGGATAAGTCCTGGTGGGATGGAACAAAGAGCTGTGCCCTTATGATGGTGGACAGTAAAGGTCAAGGCCCAAGCCCAAGCCCAAGCCCAAGAATCTGAGTGGGTCGATATATAGTCCATCAAACCAGAAAACTTCATCCCAAGCAGCCAAGCTCTGCACATTTTTCTGCAGGAAAAACAAGAGTGAATGGGACGTAATTAAGCTCGAAATTACATTGATGCAGCTGCCATGGATGTGGGGAAGAGACTGAACGGAGTTGGGCCCCAACGGAGTTGGGCCGACTGTTTCTCTTATATAGGACAGTACACGGAAGAAGAAATGAAAGGAGCAGGGATCTTTCAAGAAGAAATGAAAACGGTCTATTGAGACAACCGCATCATCGTAAACGAAAATAAAGTTGATAAAAAAAAGCAAGATGGTCAATCGGTTTTGCCATTACCTTATCATCACTGTTGAAACGTGATTCCGTGATAATAAATGTTTCAATACTACAAATGAACTTTGTTACCACTTAACTGAGTTAATAGCGACATCAATATGTACGAACAACCACATGTGTTATTAATTAGTTTATCACTCTAAAAAGCGCGTAAACAACTTTCTTATGGCTTTATAGTTTGTTCAAGAAGAAAATATATGATAATTGTTTGAGCCTAGAATGTACTAGGCGGTTATGGGGCTCCGATTTGGACTCCCTCGTCCGATCTCCTCGGGAGTGGTAGGACCTGTGAGGCGGGGGGCGGCCCCCGGGATCTACGCTCCGACGCCCAAGTTAGTACGATATAGGAAGCTGTTTATGGTATGTAGAGAGAGAGAGAGAGTTTAGAGAGAGACCTTAGGGTAAGAGTGTGAGAAGGGAAGAGAGCATCCATGACTTGGAGGCTTTGGCCTCCTTATATAGGTTTGAGACTCCATAAGTGGGCTTGGGCCCGTGACTCCTTGCGTTGGGCTTGGACCCGTTTATAGTCTTGTAGGCATATTAATCCATATCCCAACAATAATATTAAAGATAGTTGTTAGTGCAATAACCGTACCTAGATCAATAGGTCAACCACTCCAGCTAATCAGTCGACCTTTGTAGTAAAATCTTGGGGGTTCATTATCTTTGTAGCACTCTCTGCGATATTGTCTTGAGATATGAAGATATCTTAATTAACTGTAACAGGTTGATCTCTCCACAATGCAATCAACCTGTTTCTTTTCAAACATCGTCCTTTTCATCATCATCAGGACGACCACATGATCCACATCATATAAGCGATTTACGGTTCTTTTCATTTCTAATAATTGAATCCTTTCAAAACACCTACCCTTAACCCCGGAAAATAGGAAATGGGTAAATACTATTTTTTAGTCAAACATTTTCCCCATTTCAAAATATTAGCCAACTGTTAAGTTTCTGTTAAAATTTTCGTTAGTCAAGACTAAGTTGGCAAATGCAATGCTGAGTTGGAAAATAAATGATAACGTGGCAGTGAATAGTATGACAAATAAGTAATCTTTTAGTTCATCCTTTCATTTTCCGCTTCTTGATTTCTTTTCTCCATCCAAAACCAAGGAACACCATAAGCTGGTGGCGGGCAGGTGCCATCGGCGTTACCAGGGCATGGTAAAGGAAACCGTACCGGAAGTCATACCGGCTCTGCCAGTAGTAGGGTATTTTGTGGTACTACCGTGGTTCAATCGTTGTGTACCGGCAAAATACCGTTTTTGTAATTAAATAATATTTTTTTGTTAAAAAACCGTACCGGCAGATTCGGGATACCGTTTCGGAATAATACCGGAATAAAACCGGAATATACCGGATAACAAACCTGAATAAACTAAATAAGCATATTTAATATAAAATTCAACAAACTGCAACATTACTGAATTAACTACATAATCGTTCAAATGCATGTTTAGGATCGAGTACAAAACAACCAAACAACATTCTTAAACCATCTACTTCAGTGACTAATTTGAAACAAAAAAAGGACATTGAAACAAAAAAACTTATAATCCTTATTTCACACATCTATTTCAGTGACTGGTTTCTTCAAAATCTACAAGTTCGACTACTAATTTGCTTGTGATCAAACTTCAATATGATCAAATAAAACAAGTGAGACAAATGCTAGACTTCCTTTTAGATGTGCATCTGATGTAATGCACTTCACCAGTTGAAGCTGGCCTTCTAGAGAGAACTCTCGGAAGGGTGGGCAAAGCAGAGAGGGAGAAATGAAAAAGAAAACCCAAAGGTGAAACCATTAAACAAAATGCTTACCTGCTGCTGTGAATTCCTTTCTCTATTATTGGCTAAACACTATTTCAGGAGATGGAGTTAGCTTGCAGTATTTCATATTTTGTGCCTACACAAAAATTTAGCAAAGAACCCTCTTAAAAAGAAGTAACGAGGAGGTAGCAATAGAGAATTACAGCAAGTTGTTCATCCATGTAGACTGTAGTAGCGAAAATAACAACAAAGAGGTAAGCTGAATTACTTGGCATAATGGACAGAGATGGCCGCAAGATAGTAGTTGTGAGTCCATTTAGGTGATGTGATATGATATGCTACCTTCCATAGCTGCACATGCTTCACCGTGAACTGTTGTTTATCTGAGTCTGTAGAGAACCAGAAACACAATCAGAATAGATTGCAAAGGAATGTCAAGATTGGACTAATAGCTGCACAAAACTGTTATTTATGGGCTACCAGTTATCACAGTAGCAACTGCAGCCCCCCTATGCCAAAATTGCAAAGGAATATCAAGATTGGATCTAGGATTGCATTCAGCAAGTTGCCAAAACCAGCATAGTCAGTACATACAACCACAACCAATCAACTTGCTAAATTGAAACATCCAATCAATTGAAACACAACTTCACAATCACACCATGCAAACACAAAGCACCAGGACCATCAATTGATCTACCATACACAAACGCAATTGCAAGCGATAGAAATCCAAAGCCACAAAAAGCCACAAAAGAAACCCTCTTAATTCCCTTCAGTCTCCATTGTTCTGCTCCGTCTCTTCTTTGGCCTATATTCATTCCAATTTTGCGATTCATTCAAAGATGGGGGAAGATGTTCGCCGTCCAACCATACCTGCTGCCGCCGTGTCTTCTTGAGCAGGGGGGAGTCGCGTGCCGGTGCCGGAGACGCGTGCCAGAGCAGCGGCGGAGTAGTGGCGGAACAGAGGCGGAGCAGCCTTGAGCAGGGGAGGGAGTCGCGTGCCGGTCGCCGGTCGCCGCCTCGCCGGTCGAGAAGAGGGAGGATCGCCGGGCCCTGGGTCGCCACTCGAGAAGAATACGCCGGTCGGGAAGAGGAGGGAGGATCGCCGGGCTGGTCGTCGCTCGAAATGAAGTGGGAGGTCGCCAGCAGCAGCAAACGAAGGAGGACGAAGCGGCGAGAAGATTTAGGGTTTTGCTTTTGAGGCTTCGGCCGATTTTTTTTTTTCCCTTCACCACAAACGACGCCGTGTCGTTCCAGTTAGCTGACCCCGGTCAGACCAAAACCGGGCGGCTTTCTGAGTTGAACCGGTTTTACCGGTAAAACCGGCCGGGACGACTTCTTCACCACAAACCGCTTGTCGTATCGGCCAGACTCTGATTTCCGGTTTTACCGGTTCAACCGGTCGGTACGATCCGGTTTCCTTTACCATGTACCAGGGTAAATTAATCACCAACCATTCAATCCCATCTCAACCGCCATCGTTCTAACCCATTCTCCAATCTCACGATTTCCCCTCTTTTTTTCTTTTTGCATAAGAAATCCAACTCCTCGCCCTTTTAGGCCTTAGGTCACTCAAATCCCCACAAGCTCAATATAAAATCAAGATCGAATTGGGACCGGACCGGGTCAAGATCGGATTGTATCCAATCTAATCTTTGGTCCTTATATTTTCAAAAAGACCAGAATGGACCGGATTAATTTGGGCCAATTTAACCGGGCCGGACCGTATAGCCATCATAATATGTAGTATGTAACTATCTGAATTTATTGTATAAGTGTGTGGGGGAGAAGTAGGGGTGTTCAAACGGATTGGTTACCGTGGTAACCATATTAACCGATAGTATTCGGTTAATTTGGTTTGGTTAATTTGGATAATTGGTTTGGTTTGGTTAAAAAATTTAGCTTATTTGGTTTAGGCGGTTTGGTTTGGTTTGGTTTCAACACTGCTAACCAATGAAACCAATTAACCAATTAATGATACACCTAATATACAAAATTATTTATAGTTCCATGCAACCAACCAAACCAAACTTTTGTGATTCCCTATTTTATTTCCATGTGCACAACAAACCAAAGCATTATGGGTCAAAAAATAAACTGGTCTGCCTATTTAATAAACCAAAACATTTTGGACAGCTACTACACTTTAGGACTACGTACAATACCATGACAGTCACCTCAAACTATGTATAGTTTAAGTGTTTTGTACGAGAGCTTTAACTTCCTTATGAGTGGTATTGGTATGTATTTAATATATATGAATCATGGATGGTTAGTCATATTATTAATGCGTATATATAATGATAGTAATAACATATGATTATGTTTTATTCATTAACATGATAATTATTTTCATGTTATATTATTTGGTTAATCCGATTATCCGATTAACCAAATCAATTAAACTTTGGTTTGGTTAATTTGGTTTTCATGTTAATTTGAACGGTTTGGTTAAGATATATTATTCCATGATTAATGAAATTTAGGTTTAATTGGTTTGGTTATTACCACGGTAACTATTCGAACACTCCTAGCCCCTAGGGAGAAGAAGCTGCTAGAGTTGAACTGCTGCATATGGTGAGTGGTGAATACTGAATAGGTCTTGGTGGGACAGAGCAATGGTGACGGTTCGGTTTCAATTTTGTTTAAACCTAAATCGAACCAGGCTCAAAGGTTTATCAGTATCACTAAACAGGTAAAAACTAATAAATCCCACTAAGTGGTTTGTTTTGAAATTGAAAATCATTAATAAACCGATAAACCTTAACGCATTTAAGCACTTGATTTTGATTTTTTGATTTAATTTAACCAAAATCAAAATGGTTAAGTGCTTATCAATAAGCCATTAACGCTTTTGATTTCCATTTGTAGGCAATTGACTAATCCCGTTGTTTTTTTTTTGGGTTCGGTTACCGAACCGGCATCACTAGTAGGGGTGATAAACGGTTAGTCGGTTAGCGGTTTTAACCGATAACCGAACCGATAAATTCGGTTAGTGGTTAACCGATAACCGCTACTTTCTTATTGGTTTCGGTTAGTAGTATTTTGATTAGTGGTTAACCGCTAACCGATTAATCGGTTAGTAGTATTTTGATTAGCGGTTAACCGATAACCGCCTACTAGTGTGACTACATGGTTTTTTACTTTGGCTAAGGGAAAAAGTTGTAAGATTCAAAACTAATCAAAGTCGCAATTCCAAACATCCCAATTCTCACATATTGCAAACAACCCTCCATCAAGAGTCTCAAATGTTTTTAAGAGTTAGAACTCGAAAGTCACCCCTCTCTAACTCCCCTTTGCACTCGATAGAGTGAACCTTAGGTTGATGACTATGGGCTAGATGAAGATCTTGGAGTAAATGATGACTATGGGCTAGATGAATTGGAGCGAGATCCTCGGATCATTTAGGTTGATGATTTGGAGATAATGAACTTGTTATTTGTGTCTAGTTGTGATTGTGACTTGTGGTTGAATTGTGGGCATGTAGACTTTAAGTTGTGGAGTAGTGGTTGAATTGTGTGGCTGCTTTAGGCTTTATGTTCAATTGATTTAGATGACTTTATGGTGTGTGATTATAGAGGCTGAAACAAAAGCAGGCCACTCAAAATTGAGGGTGAATCATTAAAAAAGGTTGTTGAAATTCGGTTTTGGGTGGTCGGTTTCTGAACGAAAACTGAGAAAGTGAACCAAAACCTGTGGTTTCGGTTAACCGTAATGGAAAACCGAAACCGATATTTGCGGTTTTCGGTTAACCGAAGTCTCTATCGGTTTCGATTAGCGATTTTGGGACAATTTTGGTTACGGTTAACCAATATTTCGATGCGGTTAAACCGAAACCGCACCAACTAACACCCCTAATCACTAGATAGAATATAGAGTGTTAGAATATGACTTGAATTTAATTTGGGTTTGTTTTGTGTTTTAGGCCTATTCTGTTTGTGTTTGTGATTGGATTTTGTTTTGATCTTTTCCTTGTATGTTTGGGAAAAGGTGTTTGGTTTTCTATTTGGGATTAGGAGAAGAGTTCTATAAATACTCTTCATCACCCTAGTCTGTAGAAAGGTCAGTCGGGTTAGTTTGTTTGGTTTGTCCGTTTGGAATTTGGTTTGTAACCTGTACTCTCCTCAAATCAGTGAAATTTGTCTCCTCTGTCCGTGGATTAGCTAGCACACATTGTGTTAGTGAACCACGTTAAATTTGTGTTCGTTCGTGTTGGTTTGGATTATCGTTTGCCACGCTTCTGTTCTGACAAGTGGTATCAAAGCCTGGTTGATCTTTGGGCTATTTGAATTTGTCTTTACGGTTTTTGGGATCGGTGTTGGATGCGGTTTTGGGAATTTGGCTCTGGACTGAAGTTTTGCTTTGTGGAGGTAGCCTTCAATTCTTCAGCTTGGTTCGGTGGAGGAATCGCTTTGAAGTTGACTTTGGGTAGTTGTGTTTTGGTCTCGCTTGTTTGGTGAGAAGTTTGGTTGGAGTTTGTTTGATAGTAAGAATGACTGCTATCAGTATGAAGATTGAGAAGTCAATTTGGAGCTGCAGGTTTGGAATTAGAGGTAAATTTGATATTGGTGTTATGGATGGCAAGTCACAACATGGGTTGGACTTGCTGCATGTTTTGATTTGTTGATCGCCCTTAGGGGCATTTGGAGGCAGGGGAGATTCTGGTACAGCTGATTTGGAGGAGTTTGGTACGTCTGACAATTTTGATTGCATCTGAGTTTGGCGATTTGCATCGCGTTTGTTCTGGCGATATGAATCGCATTTGGATATGTCTGGCAATCTTGATTGCGTTTGAGTTTGGCGGTTTCGATCGCATTTGGATACGTCTGGCGATATGTAACGCGTCTGGGTACATCTCGCAACTTTGGTTGCGTTTGGTACATCTGGCAACTTTGGTTGCGTCTGGTACATCTGGTATTTGAGAGAGAATTCAAGTCAAGGTGGAGATTGTTAGAATATGACTTGAATTTAATTTGGGTTTGTTTTGTGTTTTAGGCCTATTCTGTTTGGGTTTGTGATTGGGTTTTGTTTTGATCTTTTCCTTGTATGTTTGGGAAAAGGTGTTTGGTTTTCTGTTTGGGATTAGTAGAAGAGTTCTATAAATACTCTTCATCACCCTAGTCTGTAGAAAGGTCAGTGGGGTTAGTTTGTTTGGTTTGTCCGTTTGGAATTTGGTTTGTAACCTGTACTCTCCTCAAATCAGTGAAATTTGTCTCCTCTGTCCGTGGATTAGCTAGCACACATTGTATTAGTGAACCACGTTAAATTTGTGTTCGTTCGTGTTGGTTTGGATTATCGTTTGCCACGCTTCTGTTCTGACATAGAGACGTACCCTTGACCCTTGTGATGGTGAACATTAAAGGCCAAGGCCCAACGCCAAAGCGTCTGAGGGGTCACCAAAACAGAGTACAATAGGAGACCGAAATTAAACGTGTCCCAATTCAAAGACTGTTCTTCTTCTCATAATCAATCGTCCTTCTAAAAAATAAAATCCCACTTCGACGAAGTCAAATGTGAGGTCGATCGTCCATCAAACCCAGAAAACGTCATCACAAACAGCCAAGCTCTGCACATTTTGTTTGCAGAAAAACAGAGACACACACGAACCAAGTGAATGGGACGTAAGGAAAAGGCCGGAGTCGCTACTCTGCTAAGCTCGAAAGCCGAACCCAAACAGTCGCCTATCGCCCCTATTTTGTGGGTCACAAAGTTTTAAGGCCAGCAGCTACTGCCATGCATGTGCGAAAGAGACTGAACGGAGTTGGCCCCAAAGGGGCAAATTGCTTATTCTTGAACAGTCGCCGACTGTACTCTGTTTTACAGGACGGTACTCGGGAAGAAGAAACTAATAAAGGAGCAGGGGATTCCTTTGCTGGCCATACCGATTAGCTTTCTGTCTGATATCTTTCAATGATAACTAGGGGTGTTCAAATGGTTACCATGGTAATAACCAAACCAAATAAGTCTAGAATTAATTAACCATGGAATACAATATCATAACCAAACTGTCCAAACTAATATAACAACCAAATTAACCAAACTAAAGTTTATTCGGTTTGGTTAATTGGTTAACCAAAATAACCAATATAACACCACATTATCATTAAGTGAGAAAATTTTCAGTTAGTGCATCAATTTGCAATTTATATAATGAATAACACATAACAATCCACATAATTATAGTTAACCCTTAACGTAAATACATGTAACAAATATAATTATCTTACGTTTGACTCTTGAGTGGTTATGCAAAGTATTAAGTATGTGTATATAATATATATTAGATATATGACAAATTACTTAACTGGTTAATTTGGTTTGATTGGTTAGGAGTGCTTGAAACCAAACCAGACCACTTAAACCAAACAAGCTAAATTTTTTAACCAAACCAATTATCGAAAT